AGGGGCGAGACAGTCGGTCGCGCGCACCACCGAACGGAGCCAGGCTTCGGTAGGCGGGCGCACTGCAGGCGTCAGCGCGGCGCACTTGTCGCGCACGTCGGCGGCGAAGGTATCAAACGTCCTGAATGCGTCCCAGAGATGCGAGACGTGAGTAAATCCGGCGCGTGCCATGTTGCGTGCGTATATCTCGTCTTTGTTCTAACTCGACTTGAAGTATTGCATTCTTCCCAATAACCCACAATACTAGTCATCATAAGCAGTTTGTAGACAAGCTGCGTACTTAAGAGCCTGGCTCGCGGCGCATAACATTGGTTGAGGCCCGTAACCAATGTTATGCGCCGCAACCACCCCAGTACAGTGCAGTGTACCTGTCCTTATGAACGAAGACGTTCAGGATCCCGCTGACGCGGTGCTGGGCCTCCTCATCGCCTGAAACCTGCACAGGACCTTTGGATCAATGGTAGTACTAGTGCCGATGGATCGATCGATGAGGTAGATGCATATGCATGCGCAAGCAGTCGCCAATCCATTAATCTCGTCAAAGATCTGGCAGCGCTACACTAGAAGAACGGGAAGCCGACTCGGACGTTGTTCAACTGACGTGGCGACGTGCGGTGCCAACAACGACTCCCAGGCGACCCGTCGCGGGATTTGATGCCAAGCGGCGGGCGTTTCCGTTTAAAAAGGCGCGATAGTTTCAAGCTCATTTTCAAAAACTCTGTCTCATGCGTGCGGTCCTTCTCTCGTGCTACGGCGTCGGCATGGCCATGGCAGCGACACGGACAGGTGTCTACTTGCCTGGCATGTGGAGCCCCGAGTACACAACGTCGACGATCAACGGCTTGCCGACGTGTTCGACCAACGACTGGGTTGTCTCGGGCGCTACGTACGACGGTGTGTCGGCCTGCTCGAATGTCAAGTCGACCAAGATCTCCGTCAACCCGTTCCGTTGCGTGCAGTACAACGCGGCCAAGAGCAGCCGAGACATCTACGACTGCGGTGCCTGCTTTTACGGCTGGAAGTTTGCTTCGAACGGGGACGTTGTCTCGTACGAGAGCGCGTCCAGAGCCGCGGGCATCCGCTTGAAGGCGTTCTTTGTGCCGCAAATTATCAAGAGCCTCGGCGACATGCGATCATGCTTGATGACCAACGATGCAAAGCTCGCGTTGCTCTGCGACTTTATTGAACGCGACAGCCTGGCGCCGGGCGCCAAGGCGACGTGCGTCCAGAAAAACCGCGTCCGGTACCCGTTTGCGAAGCCGCTTACCGACGCCGCGCCGTGCGCCGCGTATGCCGTCAAGAACAACCAAGTGGTCTGCACGAAGTGAGCACGTTCGACATGCGTGGAAGCGTCAAAGCACTCTATCCTTGGGTGTCCTTATCGTAGTTGGAATCAATCCTTTCGCATCCAGTCTTGTCGATTCGTCGCTGCGTCACAACGGTGACAAGCGGTTCACGAGACATCACTCTCGCTCTGCAAGCGCATGCTTTTGGACGCTGTCGGCTACATTGCCAAAGACTAGAAGTGGGACCAGTCGGGGGTGATGGAACCAGTACAAGGGACTGCTCCAGCGCGCCGACAGCAGCAGCGACCGCGGTGTGCCGAGAGCGAGATGGTAGCGTGCGCTGTCTTATCAAACGCGCAGTTGTTCGGAAGCATTGGCGATGACACGTTGCTCGTCGACGGCGTTCACTGTGCAAGGCAAGCGACGCGCTTAGCGTATCCGGCCCTTCATCGTCTTCAGGGCACATTTGCCCACAGCCACTGTGCGGTAAGCCAACGACGGACCAAGGAGTACGTGACAAAGCCTACCAGTGCTCGGTATTTTGCGAGTGGTTCTCGTTGCAGCAGCAAGCCACACTGTTCGTCCAACTGCGCGGTAAAATGCAACGTACACATTCTGTCGCTCGGCCTTCCAAGCGCCCCCGAACGACTTGGGAAGAACTAGAAGTACCCCCTCCGCCTGCGCCGCACCAGTCCGGCGAGCGAATGAGGAAAGATAAGGGGATGCTTAGTCTCTGCGTATGAACAACGTCTTTATAACAACCAAGATAACGCGCAACACATCCATATCGGTCGGGGCTATAGCATCCGATCTTGCATGCGCGCCTCGGTCACGTCCACCTGTCATTGCGGCGTTTTTACGGCCAAGTACGGTGCACGTGTGATTTGTTATAACGGTTATACACGTAATGACTATCGACAACTTGACAACCGACGAGACATCGCATGGGCCCTTGCGAGTTTGCACTAGGGGTCGGGCACACATCTTTTTAAGGTATGCACGGAAATAGTGTGCGAACCGGATACAAGGGTCGTATCCGGTTGATGGACGGCTACGATCAAACAACAACTTTGCTTTTGTCTGTCACAAGCCATGCCAGGTAACGCGCTCGGCGACGGGCGCTGGCTGACGATCGCCGGGCGTAGCGACGCCGCTGACGCCAGCCTTCCTCGCAGAGCTCAACGAGGCCTTTGAGGCCTCGCCTAGCAACGTCGTTGCGCGCAATGCCATGACGTCGACCAACTGGTACGACGTGGTCGTGGACCGGCGCGAGCTGCAGCGTCTGACGCACACGTTCGCCAAGAAGCTGCCGGACGCCAAGGTCTGCAACCAGAACGAGACGGGCCGGTACAAAGTTTCTCGATCCTTGCAGAAGGTCACACTTCAAGTCGTAGCTGCTGGCTGTTTGCAGCGTCGACGCTGCTTCGTCGGGCGCTCCAAACAAAATATGCGCTGAGCCCCGACTTTGAGATTTCCCAAAATTTCTTCTACTTTTACGTAGGCCCTTGCGATATACTAGACACTGTGGCAGTGACAGCTTGGCGCCCTAGGACAAGCTCGAAAAGTGCAATTTCTTTTTTGAGAATATCCTTGCGACCGCCGACCGCAGCGTGGACGACCGCCTCGTCCATCATTTCCTCGCCGACCCGACCAATGACGGCGGGCAATGGGACATGTTGGTCAATATCGTCAACAAGGTATAAACCAAACCGTGCATGCATTGCTAGTACTGCATGTAGTACGGCGCCGTGCCCAAAAACGTCTATGGCGAAGCGAAGTGCACGGAAGACTCGGAGCGCCTCAACCTCTTCTTGAGTGCCAAGCTGCGCGACTTTGCGGCCGAGCTCCGTCGGTTGCATGCGACGGATCCCAGTGCGCTCGACGCGGCCAAGCGGCGCATGCTGGGCGTGTGCCACCGCATTTTGAGCATTTTTCTCGGGTCGCCGCCGACACATTTTGATTTTGAAGCCCACGACAAGGACGAGGTGTATGTGAGCGTGCTCAACTGCACACCGCGCTCGTTTCTCACGGACGTTGTGCCCATCTCGCTGAACGACTATGTGAGCATCGTCAACGACCCGCGCCATGCGTACGGCAGCCTCCTGACGGGTAGGCACCCTCGTTTTGGATTTTTTTGGATTTTTCTGGATTTTTCTGGATTTCTTTTGGATTTCTTTTGGATTTCTTTTGGATTTCTTTTGCATTTGTTTGCATTGCTTGGGCTCCTGTTGCCTTGTTGAAACTTGGACATTATTGTTCAATATATGGTGTCCGAGTAGTCGACCGACTCGGCAACGTGGTCGAAGGCAACCCGATTCGGTACCTCAACTTGCCGACGACCGACCTCGCGCGGTATGCCAAGGCGCAGCTCGACGCCGACCTCCCCGTGTGGTTTGGCTGCGACTGCGACGCCGACTCGGAGCTCGAGGTCTACGGCGTCTACTCCAAGCAGCTCTACGCGATGGAGGCGGTCTTTGGCACGCAGTGCAGCATGACGAAGCGCGAGCGCATGGAGTACCAGGTACGTGATTGTCGTCGCCGCTCGCAACGACACGTCAGTTTTCAGAACGGATCGATGACGCATGCGATGGTCTTTACGGGCTACAGCGGCTCGCCACTCCCTACGAAATGGAAGGTTGAAAACAGCTGGGGCAAGAAGCGTGGCGATGCTGGGTATGCGACAGAAACATTGTCTTCTTGTGCACATGCCACGTGGTGTAGATATGACATTATGACGGACGCGTGGTTTGACGACCACATGTACCAAGTCGTCGTGCTCCAAAAGTTTCTGGACCCCGAGCACCTTGCGCAGTGGCGTGACGGCACACCCCTCGTGCTGCCCGTGTGGGACCCCATGGGCAACTGCTTGTAGCCGCATGAAGTCGTCGCCCTTGATCCTGGCAATACAAATACCGACAGGATAATTGTGGCGAATCACGAGAGTCCGAGGTCTGCATTTTGTTAACTGTTGCTGTGTACACTTGGGTGTATACTCGGTAGGGCGGTAGGGACCTGGACCGCGATTAGGGTTAGATCGGTGTCTGCGTCAGTAGCTAGTGCGCGTATCAAGCAACGAGGCTACGCTCAGGCGAATCAAGTCATTGTTCAACCAGCTCTTCTTCTAGTAAGCCATTCAACTGCGGACGCGCCGTCACAATAATTCACCGATTCGTTGTACTACTCAAGTGTCCTAGACGCCGTA